GATGTGGGACTCGATCCAGGGACTCCAGGATCATGACCTGAGCCGAAGGCAGTCGCTTAACCAACTGAGCCACCCAGGCGCCCCTCAAATTTACTTTTTTAAATGTGAATGTGTGTGTGCTAACTAGGTGTGTCTAGAAGACTGATCCTATGATTTGGTGAATAAAACAGTCTTAGAAAGTAATCAGGAGTTTTGCAAAGGCAATTAACCTGAGCTAGAGGGGACCTGTATATTTTTCAGTCATTTATTCCTAATATACCCATATTCCAACTCATACTCCTAAGAAGCAATGGGATCTGTAAAAGTCCTACCTGCCATTGACAGGCCAGGTACGGGTTATGTCACTCACATAGCAAGAAGACTCACAACCTCCATCCAGCAGCACCATTTCCCCATCCTGCAACAAAAGTATGATATGTCAAAGTAGGTGACCTTATGACTGTCAGTTGTTTTTTCTAATTTAAACTCTTTGTGTCTTTCATTTTATATATATATTTAAAAAGTTAACTTAAAGGAGACTAATCTTCTCTGGTTCCTTCTTATAAGAAACAGCATCTCAATTTTTCAAATGAATTCACATGACTCAAGAAAGTGGCTGTTGCACAGTAATGCATAGGCCCACACTGGAACCACACTGCTTAGGTCTGAATTACTAGGTGTAAATAGCACATCATAAATGGTATCATTATCACCATTATGTTTAAAATTCCTATGTAAGTTGGTATCCAGGGCCTTATTCAAATACGATTACCCTTAACCATTTAACTTTAGAATATCATTTCCCCTTTTGCTCCCCATCACAATACATATGGGGAAAGAAAAAAACTTTAGGTTTATCTCTCTCTTATTACTTGTCATATTATATTGAAACTACCTATTTATGTCCTTGAAGACAGGGTACATCTTATTTATGTATAAATAAACACACAACTTGGCATGTAGTAGAATAATGGTTCAATGGGTATATATATTTAATAATGGCAACTTTGACGAATGGATGTGGGTTTTGTTTCTGGCAAAATGACAGAATACATTTCTTGTTAGAAAACAACTAGATCCTGGATACAGATATATTTTATGAAAAGTGGACATTACATAATGTAAGAGAGGTCTTAAGGACTTTTTCTCTCTTGAAAAAAGATAACCCGGAACTGAAACTAGAGCTGAGAGTAGTGATAAGGTAAGTGGTACAGTATACATATAAAAGGAGATGTTGCCCTGAGGTCCTGCAGCAAAAAGTGGGGATAATGAGCCAGCAATTCTCACATTAATCCAGGATTCCCACAGGGGATACAAGAGTCCCAGGTCATTAGGACCACTTATCTTTTGGCAAAAGCATATTCAAACAAGTTCTGGAGGAAATTTCCCTCAAATTTGGGCTGGCATGATTTCCAAAAAATAACATCAAGTAAATAAACGTGAGCTCACAACCAAAGGTCGTCAAGCACACAAGGTAGGTCATTGTACGTGAGAGTCAGCAGGAACAGCATATACCAAATTTAGATCTTCCAGGACTTCAGGTAAGGGAATGATTAGATACAGAATAGCTATCATGAGATGTTTAAAGGGATAAGGAACAGAACCACAAAGATGAATTGAAAATTCAATTGAAAAGAACTATGCTGTGGTCTCACAAGGATTTTTCACAATACGCTAAGAGAGTCACAACCTAAATAAGGGAGGAATGGCCATAGTTGGGGATATAAAATTTATAATCTTTTCTCTTTCTTCCTAAAAATCTTGTAGCATAGGGATAATTTGCAGTACTTGTATATTTTCAATTGTTCTTGGAATATCAGTATTCAGTAATAGTAAAAAGACTTTTTTACAACCAAAAAAAAAAAAAAAGAAAGAAAAGAACTATGCTGATTTGAAAGGAACCAGAAAGAAAGAAAAAACAACTTCTGAAGTCAATCTCTCAGTGGATGGCTGAAGAAGCAGATTAGATAACCAAAGGGAAACTGGCTTCCTGGAAGACAGACATACCCAAGTCCCCTAGAATATGACAGAGAGAGACAAGGCAAATGTAAACACGAAAGTTAGCTTGCTGGAAACAGAAAAAGGTCTAACACACATCTACCTGAAGTTGCTGAAGGAGTGAACAGAATGTAGGAGAGACGTATCTACACCAGTGTCTGAGAATTTCCTAGAACTGATGAAGACACGAATGCAGTTTCGAGAGGGGGAAGGTATCATAACGACTGTATGTAAAAATAAATCTACTCTTAGACACACAATAAAACTGAAAAATACCAAAGGAAAAGAAAACTTTAAAAAAAAAATTATTATTTATTTATTTATTCAGTTTTTAGAGAGAGCACATATATGCGCAAGTGGTGGGGGAAGGGGCAGAGGGAGAGAGAGAATCTTAAGCAGACTCCACATTGAGCACTGAGCCCACAATGGGACTACATCTCAGGACTCTGAGGTCATGACCTGAGCTTTTCGAAATCAAGAGTTGGATGCCACCCAGGTGCCCTCCCCAAAGGAAAAGAAATCTTAAAGTAGTCAAAGCAAAGAGATTTCCCATAAGGAATGATAATTAATATTTTTGTTTGTTTTTATTTTGTTTTAAAGATTTTTTTTATTTATTTGAGAGTGAGCGGGGCGGGAGAGCCCAAGAGCACAAGCACAAGCAGGGGGAGGGGCAGAGGGAGAAGCAGATTCCCCGCTGAGTAGGGAGCGTGATGCCAGGCTGGATCCCAGGACTCTGGGATCATGACTTGAGCCGAAGGGAGATGCTTAACTGACTGAGCCACCCAGAAGCCCCTCATTTGTTTGGTTTTAATCTGCAACACTGAAAGTCAGAAGAAACGGGAATGATATACTAAAGATGATGATTGAAAAGAATCTAGGATAGTTTCCTTGGCATAGCCATCATCAAGAATTGAGAATAAAATAAAGATATTTTGACTAAAGAAAAATAGAAAATTTTATCAGCCACAGACCTTCATCTAAAGGGTTTTCTTCAGGTTGAAGGAAGCTGATCCCAGGAGGGCCATCTAAGATGTAAGAGGGAAAGGTGAACATGCATGTAAATCTAAACAAACTGTCTGTCTTGGCCTCTTGCTGAGAGTGCCATATAGCTGTGGTTAGAGGCAGAAGCACAGGGCAGCCTGTTCTGACGACATTTCTATCAGATGCCTACTACTGAGTCCACACTAGAGCTCTCCCAGATGCCCCAACGGTACCCTGCATTTCTCACAGCTTGTTGAGGACCTTGCCCACAGACTTCACCAGAAAAAGCCCTTGTAAGCTTTCGGATAACCAAAGCAAGACTATGACCTAGAAGTTCTCAACTTATATTCTCTCGGGCCAATTTATCTAATAATGGGAATACTTTTCTCTCCTTGGATGGCTACACTGGAGCTTATTCTCCAGTTTTTTAAGAATGGGCAATACATTATTTAGGAATAGACACACTGATGGTAAAATTATGAAGAAAAACAACAAAAATGATTAAAACAAAAGATGGTAGGAGACAGAAAGGGGAATGTGCTTGAGCTTGCCCAGGGGACTACTAATGTTCTTCTCATCCTAGATGATAGATATATGGTTATTCATTCAATTGTTTTTAAACAGTACATTATATTTATTGTTTTTAATATATGATACATTTATTTATTTTTATTTTTTTTATATGATACATTTAACAACTTAGGAAAACCTTAGAGAATATAATCAAAGTGAGAAATTTATCCTTAGACACTTAAGAGTAAAAAAAGAAGAAAGGATGAAAATTAATGAGTTTAGCATCTAATTTAAGAAGCCAGAAAAAGAACAAGAGAATAAGCACAAAAAGTAGACGGGTGAAATTAATAAAGGCAAGGACCCAGTGTAATGAAATAATAAACAAAGATAAAATAATATTAATGATGTGAAAAGTTGGGTTTTACAAGAATAATAAAACCCAGTGAATCTCTGGTGAGATTTCTTTTTTTGGCCAAAGTTTTTGAGATTTAATGTATGCACAGTAAATGCACAGATCTTAAGTATACACAGTTAAGTCAGTTTTGTCAAATGCCCTCAGGCCCCTTCCCAGTCAATATCCCCATGAGAAGCAACCAATGATCTGATTTCTATCATCATAGATTAGTTTTGCCCATTTTAGAACTTCATATAGATGGAATCATATAGTTTATAATTTTTTGTGTCTGGTTTATTCACTCAGCATAATGCTTTGAGATCATTCACTGGTAGTACAGTGGTTTGTTCCATTTTATTTGAAGAATACACCACATGGCAATTTCCTTATCTAATATCCTGGTGATGGACACTTGGTCTATTGGTAGTGAACTTGCTATGAACATTCTTGTACAAGGCAATTTGTGAATCTATGTTTTAATTTTTCTTGAAAAATACCTATAAATGGAATTGCTGGTGCACAGGGTAAATGTATGTTTACTTTTTAAAAAAAGAGAAAAGGCATCAGCTTCAGGCTGTCCTTTTCCCTGCAGCCTCTGCTCTGGCGGGAGTACCCTGGCCAAGCTCCAGAAATGTGTGGAGGGGACGGCCGTGGGCTTTGGACAGAGAAAGCCCCACGATGACTTGAAAGTAGGGCATCCTGAAGAGAGAAAATTAGTGGCTGGTGAGCAGTCTGTATGGCATTCTCAGATGCCTTGACCTGAGTGAGAAATCTTCCTCCATCAGGACCTCAGATGTCTGACAGCCCTATGTGACACCAGGATGGGATATTCCTGTAAATATACTGCAGGTCACGTGGCATTCTACAACACTGACAACATTTACTGCATGTTGATGATGTGCCGAAATTGGTAAACTCATTCTACATATCTTAATCCTCTCAACAGGCCTACGAGGTACTGTTGTTATTTGCCCAAGGTCACACGGTGGGTCCAGGAACTACCATGGTGTTCAATTAATCTAGCTCCAAAGCTAGTGCTTGATTTGGAACTTTTAAGTATGGTGCCCCCAGGTCTTTCCAACTAATTCTAATGACTAATTGCTTGCCTTCTTCAATCAAAAAAAAAAAAAAAGAAAGAAAAAAGGCAAAAATATATCAAGAATGTAAAAAGGTACATAAATTATAATTATAAAAAATTAAAAGGTAGACGATGCTGAGTGATTTTTTTTTTTTTTAAAGATTTTATTTATTTATTTGGCAGAGAGAGACACAGCGAGAGAGGGAACACAAGCAGGGGGAGTGGGAGAGGGAGAAGCAGGCTTCCCGCGGAGCAGGAAGCCCGATGCGGGGCTTGATCCCAGGACCTTGGGATCATGACCTGAGCCGAAGGCAGACGCTTAACGACTGAGCCACCCAGGTGCCCTGATGCTGAGTAATTTTTAAAATTTAGACAAAATGGTAGAAAAATATAACCTACCAAATTGTCTCAGGAAAAGTGAAGTATAAATTGATATAATCACTTTGGAAATGTTTGGTATTTTCTACTAAAGTGCAAATATGCATACCTATGGCCCATCAATTCCATTCTTATGTGTCCCTTAGACAAATTTGATAATATGTATACTAGGAATAACATAGTTTTACAAATCTCTTTGTCTAGCATAACAGAAAACGGAATCTCATATCTACTTCTCCCCCTTCAATCTGGTGTGATATTGCAGGTCATAAAGCTACTGGGTTACTTCCTTGTACACTTGAGAGAATGAGAGTGGAAAAGACAAATAATGTCTGAGTAGTCTTATAAAAATGTATTAACCTCACAGACCACACTTTAATTGCTGTTCTATACTACAACAATTAAAATGAACAAACTGCCGTAGTATGCAACAACATACTGTTATTTGAAAAAGACACAGACATAATATTTCAAATATATAAAGCTCAAACATGACCAAAGCCAAACTATGTTAAACCATATTGTTTATTAGTAATAAAATAAAATGAAAAGCAAAGAAATGATTACCATCAAAATCAGGAGAGTGGTTATCTCACCAGGGAGAGAAGTTATCATTGGGAAGAACCACATGGTGGAAAAGCTTCTTAGGGGTGGAGGGATAGTAATGTCCTGTTTCAGGCATTCACAATTTTTTTCTGTAAAGGGCTAGATGGTACATATTTTTTACTTTCTGGACCATACTGTCTCTGGTGCAACTACTCAACTCTGCCATTGTGGGAAGAAAGCAGGAACAGCTGTATTCCAATAAAACTTTATTCACAAAACAAAATGGCAGGCTGGATTTGGTGCAGAGAGCTGTAGCTTGCCAATACTTGTTTTATTTGACATGGTAATGGTTACATGGGTGTCCACTTTATAATTATTAAACTGTTCCTTTATGTTTTAAGTACTTTACCAGTAGTTCCATTTTAAAATAAGAAATGTCAAAAAGGAAAAAAAAAGAAACAGAGAACTTTAGTATATTAAAGAAATTGAATCAGTAGTTAAAAAAAGTTTACAAAGGAAAATATCAGGCCCCAAAAGTTCTATAGGTATATTCCACCCAATTTTCAAAAAAACATTAACTCAAATCATTTCACAATATTAAAAAAAGAAACTACTCATTCTATAAGCTTAGTTTGGACTTGATATGAAAATCAGAAAAAGATAGTATGAGAAAAATAAGCCAATCTCACTCATGAACACAAATCAGAATATCCTAAACAACACATTAGCAAGTTGAAACTAGTAGTGCTAAAGATAAAAAAGATGCTTAATTTCACTGGTAATTAAGGTAACAGAAATTAAGACCACAATGAGATACTGCTTTATACCAATTAGAATAGCAGAAATTAAGTCTGATAACATCAAGGGATAGAGAGGATGTGGTCAATAGAATTACACACCACTGGTAGGAGTATAAACAGATACAAATACTTGGGGAAAAAATTTTGTATTATCTTATCACACTTGTGAATAAAATAAATTTCCAAAAAACTATATATAGCAGTATAATTTTTAGGTAGTTCACAAACAAGCAGAACTAATTTTTTTCTTTTTACAAGGAGAACTAATTAATATTGTTTGGGGAATCATGTATACATGATACAACTACTTAAAATCAAGAGAAGACAAACAAAAATTTGGGATAACCAGTTAGTTACCTCTGGGAGGGAGGCAACAGGATAGCCAAGCATAAAGACACGTAAGTAGATGCAAAGAACTGGTAATGTTCTAGCTCTTGAGCTGAGTGATCAGTTCATGAGTATTCATTTAAAAAATATGCTGTGTAATTTACATATATGCTATATTTATTTTTCTGAAATTACTGAAAATTAAAACAGATAATTAAAAGTGGACTTTGGATGCCTGGGTGGCTCAGTTGGTTAAGTGTCTGACTCTTGATCTCAGCTCAGGTCTTGATCTTAGGGTCATGAGTTTAAGTGCTGCACTGGGCTCCATGCTGAGCATCGAGCCTACTTAAAACAAAACAAAAACCCCTTTCCCCACCTTTAAAAAAAAAAAAGTGGACTTAATAAAGGCATATACAATTCTTTACTTGTATAGTCACTTGGGGAGAAAATCATAAAAGATACTCCCTCACAGCTAATAAGGTACTATTAAAATCTGTCTGCTCCCAAAATATGCATGGCCCACTGTGGCCCAAGTCCTTTGAGAAGGAGTGTTATTAAAAAATATGAGCAGGGAAAAAAATGAGCAGAGGCTTTAGAGTAGAATTCTCAGCTCTGCCCTAATGAGTTGCCTAATTTTTTATTTTCCTCATCTGTTGAACAGGCATGTTAATAATTGCTCCTATCTCACAGTGCTAACGCGAGAATCAAATGAGATAATGTCTGTAAAATCATTTTATAAACAATAAAGTGCTCTAGAAGTGGCACCACAGGAAGTGGTACTGAAGGGTATTTCGCGTACCTTGATGAGCTGATTATTCTTCACATAGTGCAAAGTGTTTGACCGATTACCTCCAGCGACCACGGGCGGGTAGGCTAAGATGTCTGCACCACGGGCCCGGCATTCAAATTCAAACTGAAAAACAACACAGAAGACAGGATTTCCTCAGGGCTGTGCCAGCCCAGGCTCTCTCCAACAAACAGCCCATCCCTCCATTCAAGTACTTCTTTTCCGTCATTACTGGAAAACAAGTTATCAAATCTAACCAAACTTCTCATGCTGCAATTCCAGTCTATTTTTTATTCTCCCCACCATCCTGTTATTTGACCCTATTATTAAGTCTATTCTTTCCTGAGTGCTCCAAATTTCCTATGATTTTCAAATTAAGTCCAGAAGAGAACACAGAAAACCTATGATCAAGGCTGAGTACAGAGATACAGTCGAGTAAAGTTCCTGTTTTTTATTCTTACTTAGATAAACACTAGAATACAGCTTGCAGTTTTAACAACAGCTCTGAATTACTAAATTTCAACTTTTCAAATAGCTACCAACCTAAATGTGCTGGAAAAGTGAAAAAGGATGCTAGGCAGATGGTAAATTCTACTAATTTCACTTTGTCCAAGGATGGAGCTGGAGACTGGTGAGCAGCTGCTGCTCTTTCCAGTACTACTCTGATTCTCCTCCTTTACATTTACTTAAACAGTATTCTCGCTCACATTTGACTAAGTCTTTGCTTCTTCATCTGTTCTGCTTTGCAGTTTTCATTTAACTGTAGCTCTGTGTATTTTAGACACATCTAATAAATTATCAGTGACATTTAAGAACCAAATCCTCTCCACTGATATCCTGGTCACTTACACGAAAGCCAACTGGATGCCATCTGCAAATCAATGGAATTACTTTACTTATTACTGTTTTTGCCTCCAAAAAAACCTTTCCAATCTTTTAAAGCTCACCTTAGCATAAAGGAAGCCTTCCTCCATGGGAGCTTTACTGGCAAACATGGTCTCTATGAAAGCCTGTAAACAGAATGGAGGATGAACAGTCTCATTTTAAATACGTTGCTTACTCAAACATTCAAAATACTGGAGCTCAAATGAAAAGAAGGGTGCCTTCTCCCCAATTTTGCTGACCTGAAGTTGTGACTTTGTGACCTGATAATATAGATTTCTGAAGAGGAAACTATTGCTTTCAGGACTATTTGACTGATAACAGATTTAGTGGAAGGGTGACTCAACAATTACACTCAGAATATACATTGGTATGCCAGAGTAAGCTACATGGGAACACATTTGTCATTTATGTAACAAAGTAGCCCAGAAATGTATGAAATTATGGATCGAATGGTCCAGTCTACTGTAAGGTTTCCCAACCTTAGCATTGTCGACATTTTGGACTATATACTCTTTTTAGGGTGCCAGCAGCACTTCCCAACTGAGAATCAGATACTGCCAGATATCCCCTAAAGGACAAAACTGGGGCGCCTGGGTGGCTCAGTCGTTTAGTGTCTGCCTTGGGCTCGGGTCATGATCCCAGAGTCCTGGGATCAAGCCCCGCATCGGGCTCCCTGCTCAGCGGGAAGCCTGCTTCTCCCTCTCCCACTCCCCCTGCTTGTGTCCCCTCTCTCGCTGTCTCTGTCAAAAAATAAATTTAAAAAATCTTTAAAGGACAAAACTGCCCCAAGTTCAGAATCAGTGACCTAGAGAAGAAATACTTTATTTCTCCACGTGTTTCCTTTTTTTAATGAACGTACAATGTTTATAATTCACCACTGTACCTTATTCCAAAAAGATTTTGACTAGTTTACATGGATACACAAAATACAACAAAGTGGCACAAATTCATGGCAGAATTAAAGAAAAGCAAGCCTTAAGCGGAATGGAGCTCAAAAAACTAAGAATGCATACCATAATGACCTTCATGATTACTATGGCAACTATGGATGGGCCACAAATTTATCTGAGTTTTCTAGTAGCCAGTGTGAAAAGGGAAACTGTCAGCTATATTTCCCATGTCTGTGGGATAAAAACAAATCAGCTGCACAGGGATAGGATTATATGATTCTACCACTAGAAAGGAATTTCTCTCGAGTTAGGTTCTAAGAGTGAAGGCAATATGGGAAGGAATGTTTTTAATAACATTTTCCCAAATATAAGGCAATGACATCATCATAAAGCCCAACAGAGGGAAAGCAAGCGGGCTGGCCATGAAATAGCTGTGTGGCTTGCCCCTGTTCTCATTCTGATCCTTCCTCAAATGTTTCATCCTCAGAGAGGCCTTTCTGACCACCCTACCTCACTCAGCACTTCTACCACACTTCATTCCCTTCCACTGCTTCCTTTTTCTTTTTCTTCACAGCATTTAATTCCAGCTGACTATACAGCATGTTTGTTTACTGTCTCTCCTCAACTAGAATGTACACTGAGGACACAGACATTGATTTGCATTTCCATGATGATGGGTGATGATGAGCATCTCTTCATGTGGTATCTAAACCTACTCTGTTGAGGGTTTTCTTTTTTTTTTTTTTTTTTAAGATTTTATTTATTTATTTGACAGAGAGAGACAGTGAGAGAGGGAACACAAGAAGGGGGAGTGGGAGAGGGAGAAGCAGGCTTCCTGCTTGAGCAGAGAGCCCGATGTGGGGCTCAATTCCAGGACCCTGGGATCATGACCTGAGCTGAAGGCAGACGCTCAACGACTGAGCCACCCAGGTGCCCCTGTTGAGGGTTTTATCATGGATCAATGTTGTACTTTGTCAAATGCTTTTTCTGTGTCTACTGAAATGATCCTATGGTTCTTATCCTTTCTTTTTTTTTTTTTTTTAAAGATTTTATTTATTTATTTGACAGAGAGAGACACAGCGAGAGAGGGAACACAAGCAGGGGAGTGGGGGAGGGAGAAGCAGGCTTCCCACCAAGCAGGGAGCCCGATGCGGGGCTCGATCCTAGGACCCTGGAACCATGACCTGAGCCAAAGGCAGACGCTTAACGACTGAGCCACCCAGGCGCCCCTGGTTCTTATCCTTTCTTTTATTGATGTGATGTACCATGTTGATTGATTGGCAAATATTGACCCACCCTTGCAACCCAGGAAAAAAATCTCACTTGACTGTGGTGAATGATTTTATGTATTGCTGTATTCAGTTTGCTAGTACTTTGTTGAGGATATCTGCATCTATGTTCATCAGAGATCTGGCCTGTGGTTCTCTTTTATTGTGGGGTCTTTATCTGGTTTTGGTTTCAGGGTAATGCTGGCCTCATAAAATGAATTTGGAAGTTTTCCTTCCTTTTCTATTTTCTATTTTTTGAGAAGAACAGGCATTAACTCTTTTTAAATGTCTGGTAGAATTCACCTGTGAAACCGTCTGGCCCTGAACTTTTTGTTGGGAGTTTTTTGAGTACTGATTCAATTTCTTTGCTGGTAATGGGACTGTTCAAATTTTCTATTTCTTCCTGTTTTAGTTTTGGTAAGTTATGTTTCTAGGAATTTATCCATTTCTTCTATTGTCCAACTTGCTGGCAAATAGTTTTTCATAATATTCTCTTACAATTGTTTGTATTTCTGTGGTGTTTGTTATTTTTCCTCTTTCATTTGTGATTTCATATATCTGGGTCCTTTCTCTTTTTTTCTTGAGGAGTCTGCTAGAGGTTTATCAATTTTATTGATTTTTTTCAAAGAACCAGCTCCTGATTTTATTGATCTGTTCTACTGTTTTTTTAGTTTCTATATCATTGTTTCTGCTCTAATCTTTATTATTTCCTTCTTTCTGCTAGTTTTAGGCTTTGTTTTTCTAGCTCCTTTAGGAGTAAGGATAGATTGTTTGAGATTTTTCTTGCTTCCTGAGGTAGGCTTGTATTTTTTTTTTTTTTAAAGATTTTATTTATTTGACAGAGAGAGAGAGAGACAGTGAGAGAGAGAACACAAGCAGGGGGAGTGGGGGAGGGAGAAGCAGGCTTCCCACCGAGCAGGGAGCCCGATGCGGGTCTCAATTCCAGGACCCTGGGATCATGACCTGAGCCGAAGGCAGACGCTTAGCGACTGAGCCACCCAGGCACCCCGAGGTAGGCTTGTATTGCTATAAACTTCCCTCTTAGGACTGCTTTTGCTGCATCCCAAAGGTTTTGAAATGTTGTGTTTTCATTTTCATTTGTTTCCATGTACTTTTTTATTTCTTATTTCCTGGTTGACCCATTCATTGTTTAGTAGCATGTTATTTAACCTCTATGTATTCGTGGTCTTTCCAGATTTTTTATGGTTGACTTCTGGTTTCGTAGCATTATGGTCAGAAAATATGCATGGTATAACTTCGATCTTTTGGAATTTGTTGAGGTTTGTTTTGCAACCTAATATGTGATCTATTCTGGAGAACATTCCATCTGCACTTGAAAAGAATGTGTATTCTTCTTAGAATGGAATGTTCTTAATATATTTGTTAAATCCATCTGGTCCAGTATGTCATTCAAAGCCATTGTTTCCTTGATTTTCTGTTTAGATGATCTGTCCATTGATATAAGCGGGGTGTTAAAGTCCCCTACTCTTATTGTATTATTATTGATTAGTTCTTTTATGTTTATTAACTGTTTTATGTATTTGGGTGCTCCCATAAATATTTAAAATTGTTATATCTTCTTGCTGGATTGTCCCCTTCATTATTTTAGTGTCCTTCTTTGTCTCTTGTTATAGTCTTTGTTTTAAAGTCTATTTTGTCTAAGTATTGCTACTCTAGCTTTCTTTCTTTCTTTTTTAAAGATTTTATTTATTTATTTGAGAAAGAGAGAGAGAGAAGCAGACTCCCGGCTGAGCAGGGGCTCAATCCCCAGACCCTGGGATCATGACCTAAGCCAAAGGCAGATGCTTAACGACTGAGCCACCCAGGTGCCCCTACTCCAGCTTTCTTTTTACATCCATTTGCATGATAAATATTTCTCCATCCCCTCACTTCCAATATGCAGGTGTCTTTAGGTCTAAAATTAGTCTTTGTAGGGGCACCTGGGTGACTCAATCATTAGGCATCTGCCTTCGGCTCAGGTCATGGTCCCAGGGTCCTGGGATCGAGCCCCACATTGGGCTCTCTGCTCATCGGGAAGCCTGCTTCTCCCTCTCCCACTTCCCCCTGCTTGTCTTCCCTCTCTCGCTATATCGCTCTGTCAAATAAATAAATAAAATCTTAAAAAAAAAAAAATGAGTCTTTGTAGTCTACAGATGGTCTCCCGTAGACTATAGATATAGATGGGTCTTGTTTTTTTACCCATTTTATCATCCTTTGTCTTTTGATTGGAGTGTTTAATTCATTTACATTCAAAGTAATTATTGGTAGATTAATTGCCATTTTATTACTTGTTTTGTAGTTGTTTCTGCCTTGTCTTCCTCTCTTTCATGATTTGCTGGTTTTCCTTAGTGATATATTTGGATTTCTTTCTCTTTATTCTCTGCATATTTATTAGTGGTTATCATGAGGTTTGTATATATGATGGCTGTTTAAGTTTGAACCCATTCTTTACTCCTCTCCTCCACACATTTTAGGTATATGGTGTCATATTTGACATCTTTTTATTTTTTGAGTTCCTTGGCTGATTTTTATTCATTTATTTAAGATTTTATTTATTTGACAGATAGATAGAGAGCACAAGTAGGCAGAGTGACAGGCAGAGGGAGAGGGAAAAGCAGGCTCTCTGCTGAGCAGGGAGCTAGACACGGGGCTCAATCCTGGGACCCCAGGATCATGACCTGAGCCGAAAGCAGCTGCTTAACTGACTGAGCCACCCAGGTGCCCCCCTTGGCTGATTTTTAACAGAAATACTCATTTTTACCACTTTTGTGTTTCCTACCTTTATATTGTCATTTTTGGTCTTTCCTTTCCACTCAGAGTCCCCTTTAGTATTTCTTGCACGGCTGGTTTAGTGGTCATGAAATCCTTTAGTTTTTGTTTGTCTGGGAAACTCTTTTATCTTTCCTTCTATTCTGAAGATAGCTTCACTGGATAGAATATTCTTGGCTGCAGGTTCTTCCTATTCAG